TGTGTGTGTGTGTGTGTGTGTGTGTGTGTGTGTGTTTTTAGCTTTCAAATACTGTTTTTCATGAAAGCATTTAGGTATGATTTTGGAAATTAGTTTTTAGCTACTATTTTGTCAATTTAAGTTCTAAAGCACTGTTTGGTGGATTTTAACTTCTGCTTGTTTTAACTTTTTATTTTAGTTTTAGTTCCTTTATGAACCATCTGTCACTTATCATTCATGTTTTTAAAGTTGCCATGTGTTTTCTAATAAAGGTATTTTTGTGGCTAGCTTTTATGGGAACATTTTGAAGTTTTATTCTTCACCTTCTATCTCCTGCAGGAAATTGCCTTCCCWAAGATGGTGGCAAGCTGCTGCCGTTTCTTGTGCTATTTCTGTCGGATCAGCCGTCAGAACCAGAAAGCCATGTTTGACCACCTGAGCTACCTGCTGGAGAACAGCAGCGTCGGACTGGGTGAGTGATCCGTCAGAAGAAATGTTCTGCGCTCCCATCGTGCACCGACATTCACAACCTTTTTACAATCGAAGAAATAAGGGTAGAAAATACAAAAAATATCATAAGAAGAAAAACTGAAAACACTGAGTTAGTTTAAAGGTCGCCTTGACATTTACAAACTCTTTCTCACGTTATTCCAATGCTTCGATGTTCTCATCTAGAAAAACTTCTGAACTAATCAAAAGTAAAACTGGCTGCTGCTGAAGAGGAGCCAGGCTGTGATTCAAAATGCCAAGATATCAGGTTGAGAGTAAAAAAAGAGGCAAACTGGGAGACAGCTGGTGGAGTGAGAAGAATGTGGGCCGAGCCAGGCTGGTTTGGTCCTGCAGGACCGATGAGTCACTGCTAGCTGCTCAAGCCCCTGGTCTGATGAAGACACAARCCAGTGGTGAGGTTTGGGAATTTGTCACGTCTCTGAAAGACCTGGTGTGGTTTAAAGATGAGGAAACCTTATTCGACCCTGGCAGSAGTAAAATGTGACGTGTTTGTAAAAACAGTCCATTTAAATACAGGCCAGGCATTCCTGATTACATCACTCCAGATTAATAAAAAAAATAATTTTCAAAGCGACTCTCTTGTAAACAAAACTAGCTTTTATTGCCAGGCCAGGTGATAAATGGCTAAATGACTACAGATTATTTARAGACGGAGAATTCTTGTGTTTATTGTGTCAATTTTCTATTGATGATTCATTTTTCCTCCGTATGTTTTTCACATCTTTACTTTTTTTACTTTTTATTTAAGGTCTCCATTAGTTTCTGCCTCTGCAGAGACTACTCTTCCTGGGGTCCAATWACTTGTTTTTATCTTTTTTTTTGACAGCTCATATATCAAAACATTCAGCTCATTTATGCCCTGCGTTTTAGGACTTTTGGTATTTCAGCGAGTTAAACTTTTTCAGCTTTTTTAGCTCTTATAGTTAAATGAATGAAGCTGTCTTCAACATCTGTAAAACCCTTTAAAATACTTATAAATCTAAACTAATCTGTATGTTTCATCTTTGCTTCTGCTTTTTTAACTTCTTTGTGCTAATTTTAGCTTTCAGCTAATCTAGTAATTTATACTGTTTTAAGCTTCTATCAACTTCTTTCTGCTAATTTTATCTTTTTATTCTTTTACATGATTTCTGCTAATTTCAGCTGTTTTCTGACTTTTTAGCTACTTTTTCCAAAATTCACCATTTCTGCAAACGTACTTTCTGCGTCTTTGTGCTAATTTCAGCTTTTTAAGCTTCTTTGTAACTATTTTTCCCTCTAATTTTAGCCGCTTAAGCTATATTTTGTTTTCTTGTTTTTCTCTCTGTTCACCATCAAACTTCAGCTTAATTCTGTTGCTGTTTACTTTTGTTTCCAGCTAAAGTTAACTGTTCAAATTTAACTCATATTAACAGTTTTTAAACATTTCAGCTTCTTCAGCAGCTTTCAGGAAAAATGTTTCAGCRTTTTTGCATAACTGAAGGTAATGCAAATCCTGTAGTTTTCTTATATTTATAGATTTAAGAATTGAGATAGCTAAAATTATTTAACTGCAGTTCATTTCTAACTACAAAAAAACTTTACTTTTGCAGTTGTTCTGCTTTTAAAGATTAAACATTTTTAACGTTAACACAGCAAACATGTTGAGTTTAATAATAATGATGATGATGATGATGATTATAATATTCATATTAATAACAACAACAACAACAACAATAATAATAATAATAATAATAATAATAAATTTGTGTAGTGATGTTCCTAAAGGAGAATGAGCAGAACTTTTACCCACTCACAGTAATCCCTGCTGGTTGCTCTAAAGTGATTAAACTTCCACACTTTGCTCTGTTGAACAGTTTTTATAGAACAAGGCTTGTGTAAAAACCAGGAGAAAAAGTTGCCCTGCTTTGTTTTTAAGACAGAGATGAATGAGCTGCCTGAAGGARGCCAGGTCAGGTTATGTTCCAGATTTAGTTTTTAATAAAACGGAGCTGCTCCAGTGTGACACCCGGTGGTTTTATCAGCTCATACCTTTWAAAAAATAAACATTTAAGATCACCAGGACTCACGTAGCATTTATTTATAACTTATTCTAGTTTTTAAAGTAATATTTTAATTCTTTATATCTCTTACTCATTGTTTGATGGTTGTAACAAAAAGGATTTCAGATTTTTTTTGCTGTAGTTTTGCTAATCTTAGTTTTAAGGATGTTTTTTTTTTCATTGTAGCTTTTTCATTAGAATCTTGATGATTTATTCTTTTAGCTACTGTTTTGTTTGTTCTTTAAATTCCTGAAAATTATTCTTTCAGCTCTTACTTGTGTTCAGTATTGACTTTTTTGCTGTTTGTATTGTCTTTAGCGTTTAGCCTATGACAGATTTTTATAATGTGCTTTATAAAGTCACGCTGATAAAGTACAGTCTCTCCAGTTTGAGGATGTTTTATTTTTGTGATTTGACAACCCTTCAAATCACTTCCTGTGACGCAACAAAACAAAGATGTTGAACATGTGAYGGTGCGACACGTTAAGCTGCCTCAGTGTGAAGTTTAATTCCTGCTGACTCTTGATTGAAAATAATTAGTTTCTTGTTTGTTTAGCGTCTGAGGCCATGCGGGGCTCCACTCCTCTGGATGTTGCAGCATCCTCAGTGATGGACAACAACGGCCTGGCCCTGGCTCTGGAGGAACCGGATCTGGAGAAGGTTTGCTTCTATCACAATAAAATGAGACAGAAAGTTAAAGAAACTGAACCGTGATGCGTTTTAGTAAAGCTCCTTCGTGTAAACTCAGAGAATGCTCTAATGTTGCTAACACAGAGTGTGATAATAAAGGAGTCATTAAAAAGAACTGTTTGTGTGTAGGTGGTGACGTACCTGGCAGGATGTGGTCTCCAGAGCTGTGCCATGCTAGTCGCCAAGGGATACCCGGACCTCGGCTGGAACCCCATAGAGGGAGAGCGCTACCTGTCCTTCCTGAGATTTGTGGTCTTCTGCAACGGTCAGCTTTCCTGCTGACKGCATGGTTTTACTTTTTAAAACATTAGTGTTGAGACCTTGCAGGCTGGTGTAGAAATGGAAAAAAGATTTGTTGTGATAGAGGATGTCAGATACGGAGCATTGCATTCAAATAAAAAAAAATTAGGACTCCTGATCTCATAATTATGAGATAAGATCTCATAATTACGAGATCAGGATCCCATAATTATGAGATCAGGAGTCTTAATTTTTTTTATTTGGTGAATGCAATGCTCTTCCGTAGTCAGAGAAGTAAAAATAAATAAAAACTGTTGGTCAGCTTTTCCCGGATAAAGGAGGAGAAACATGAAAAATTCCTGAACAGCTGAACTGAAGCTGACTCCTTGTTCCAGGTCTAAATCCATAATGTTTGTGYTGTTGACCTGCTGCAGGTGAGAGCGTGGAGGAGAACGCCAACGTGGTGGTGAAGCTGCTGATCCGACGTCCCGAGTGTTTTGGCCCCGCCCTGAGGGGAGAGGGAGGACAGGGTCTGTTGGCCGCCATGAAAGARGCAATAAAGATCTCTGAAGATCCCACTCTAGACCTCCCAAAGACCCCTGCTGGAGCTGCTCCAGGGTAAGAACACGTGCTGGACTCTTCATGCCGTTTTCCTTTAGTGTTACAGTTATAATTAGGAAAAAGCTCAAAAGTATCAGAATCACAAACTTAMAGCTTAGAAATGAACTGAAATCATCAGGATCCTATGAAATTCACTTCAGTTAGTACAACCTGTATACACAGGTGTAGCTTTTGAGTTTGGCTGGAACTAGCTTCTCATTTARCGCATTMGTTTTTTGCTAACTTTGTGAACCGTTAGTGGACCAGTGAGCTGCTGCTAAATTGGCTTCTGCTGTAAAAACTTGTTTTTTTCCATGTGCCCCGAAATAAATACAAACTGTCTCCTCTTACAGGAAGTGCTGGACGTGTCAGGCACTGTATGTGTAGCATGGAGCATCTTTATTAGCTAAACTTCAAAATAAGAAATGAAATAACATTCAACAATATTTAAATACAAAAATTGACTAATATAGTAAGGAAAATATCTTCTGTTTGACTAACTTCAAACCGTATTTACAGAATTATAAACTCGATCAAAGAAATTATTTTATTCTGAAAGGGTTAAATTGGAAGTATCACAAGTTAGAACTATAACTCTGTTTGATCAAATAATCACAGCCACCTTCAAATTAAACCAATTAAATCAAACTAAAAACAGCTTTTTTCAGTCGTGCTAATCATCTTAGCTGTTAGCGTTAGCTTCCTCTAATGTTTCTGTTTAGCAGTTTAGCGTTAGTGAAGCTAAGCTTCTTGATTAGTGGTTAGTGAAGCTAACGTTTTGGTTAGCTGTGCCCAACACTGTTTTTTTGTCATCATCAGCTGCACTTTAATGTGCAAAATAATTATGGCCTGAAGTGAAGAGGGGCGTTTGGAAGCTGGTCAAAAATCAACTCATGTTATGTGRTGGACAGAAAGGAGCTTGTATAAAGCATTAAACATGGCTATACGCTCAGTTTGTGCCTCTGCTGCTTGTTTTAAATCCTTATTGAACTGATCTAAAAGAGAAGATGTTTGCTGAAGTCATGGATAAAACGTGTGTGTCTGCCTTTTTCAGGTCTGGGGAGGAGGAGGGAGAAGTTATTCACATGGGAAACGCCATCATGTCCTTCTACTCGGCCCTTATCGACCTGCTGGGACGCTGCGCTCCAGAGATGCATGTGAGTCTGTCCCTGCAGAACTCCACGCTGTGCAGCGAGGAAATTCTCCTTCATGCAGCTTTATTTGTCTTGCAGCTTATAAATGCAGGTAAAGGTGAGGCGCTGCGTATCAGAGCCATCCTGCGCTCTCTGGTTCCCACGTCAGACCTGGTGGGCATCATCAGCATCCCCCTCAACATGCCGGTCATCAATAAAGGTGCGCATGACGTTTAGCTGTCTGAGAGTGATAAACAGAAATAAATAAACCTGAGTGGTGGGGAGGAGCAAAATATTCGGGCTGAAATCATTTCATTAATCTTACTTTTTTTAGAATCAAATCTATTTGTATGAAGTTATTTTTACTTTTAGCTTTTGGCTAGCCTTTTCATGTTTTTAGCTTGTAGCTACCATTGATAGCCTTTTTTTGCAGTTTGTTACTTTAAGCTTTAGTTAGCCTGTTGTTTAGTTATTAACAAGTCTTTTGTTACCTAGCTTTTGTCCAGCATTTGCTGCTTTTATTTAGTTCTTGGTATTTTTAGCTTTTGGCTAGCCTTTTCCTGTTTTTAGCRTGTTGCTATCATTCTGCTTTTTCTTTTCTGGCCATTTGCTACTACARGTTTTTAGACAACCTTTTGATTCTTTTAGCTTTTAATTAGCGGTTTACGTTCAGCTTTGATTAGCATGTTGTTATTTTAGTTATTTACTAGTCTGTTGCTACTTTTATTTAGCTTTTGCTACTTTCAGTTTCTGGCTAGCCTTTTCCTGTTTTTAGCTTGTAGTTACCGTTCTACTTAATTAGCCAGGCTTTTGCTACTARGAGTTTCTATTTTCATACTTTTAGCTTTAATTTAACCTGTTGCTACTTTAGCTATTAGGTAGCCTTTTGCTACTTTATCTAGTATTTTAATTTTTAGCAAGTGTTTTGTTTTAACTTTATCTAGCTTTTGGCTGCTTTTATCTACTGTTTTGCTTTATTGAAATATTTGTRAAATTTGACGTGTAAATGTATAAATAATTGTTTTGTGTTATTTAAAATGTGTCGACCCTGCAGATGGCTCAGTGACAGAACCTGACATGTCCGCTCGTTTCTGTCCGGACCACAAGGCCCCCATGGTGCTGTTTCTGGAAAGGGTTTATGGCATCGAGGACCAGAGCTTCCTGCTGCAGATGCTGGAGGTGGGCTTCCTGCCCGACCTCAAAGCCTCTGCRTCTTTGGACACGGTGAGTCCTGAGCCGTTTTCGACACACGTCGCTCTAAAACCACCTTTTTACTGATGGCACAGCTTCSTCTCTGACCCACAGGAAGTGTTGAGCACCACGGAGACGGCGTTGGCCATGAACCGGTACATCGGCTCGGCCCTGCTGCCTCTGCTGACCCGCTGCGCCGCTCTGTTCTCCAACACGGAGCACTACGCTCAGCTGGTCGACGCCACGCTGGAAACCATCTACCGGCTGTCCAAAGGCCGCTCGCTCACCAAAGCCCAAAGGGACGCCATCGAGGAGTGTCTGCTCGCCATCTGCAGGTAAGGCCTCGCAGTTAATTTAACAAACATTAAATCCCACACAGCTTCATCACGATGCTTTGTGACATCGTTTGTTTTTCTGTAATCAGTGTTTAGCAGTAATTATGTTTGTTCTCCCTCTGTAGGCATCTGCGCCCCTCTATGATGCAGCAGCTGCTCAGACGGCTGGTGTTTGATGTTCCCCTGCTCACTGAATACTGCAAGATGCCTCTGCGGGTCAGACTCACATCTTAGCTGAAAGAGCTGTGGGATCTTTGTAACAAGGAATAACTGGCTTCTCACGTTTCACAGCTCATTTATTTTCCTCGCTCTCTGCGCATTGAGCACTTCTCTCTGTCTTTTATGTGTTTTTAATGATCTTTATAAAACGTAGCAGCCTCGCTTCCAGACAAAGAATTGTGTTTTATATAATTTTCCTGTAGCAGTGCAGAAATGTTTTTCTTTTTTTAAACAGCTGCTGACCAACCACTACGAGCAGAACTGGAAGTACTACTGCCTCCCTTCAGGGATGGCTGGTTTTGGGATGGCTTCTGAGGAGGAGCTGCTCCTCACCAAGAAACTCTTCTGGGGAATCTTCGACTCTCTTTCTCAGAAGGTACCAACAGAACCGGACCTGAGCCGGACCTGAGCCGGAACACGTTATGATGGCAAAACAAAAAGCAGCGATCCTGAAACAAAAACAGCCTGAAGCTCGAGAAAAAATCATTTCATGACACAATTCAGTGGGAGAGAAGCAAGACTTCACTGAACCTGAGCTGTTCAAGCTAAAAGAAGCAGAATACTAGCTAAATTCTATAATAAGCAAAACACCTGCTAAAAATTACAATGAACAAAACAGCTAAAAGCTAGAAATAGCAATTACCTAAAAGTTAAAGTAGGTAAAACGCTAGCTAAAAGAAGCAAACCGATATCTAGCATACCTAGGCAGCAAAAAAATAAATAAAAACAACTAAAAGAAGCAGAACACTAGCCAAATATAGCAAAACCTAGCTAGAAAAGTAACAAAATAGTAGCTAAAAGCTAGAAATAGCAATTCAAAAACTCTAAACTAAACCAAGTAAAACACCAAGTAAAAGCTAAATGTAGCAAAACATGAACTAAAAACCTAAACGTAACGAAAGGTCAGCTAAAAGCTAAGAGAGCCTAAAAGCTAAAAGTAAGACTAGCTAAAGATAAAAAAATATGTTGAAGTGTTTTTTAAAGAGAATAATGTTTCTGAGAAATTGAAAGATCCTGTTGTCTGTTTCTGTAGTTTTTTAATTTTCAGTTTTTCTGTGAGTCAGGAGGCAGAGCAGCTCTCTTTAATTAGCTGCTCTACAAAATGAAAAGTTCTCATCAGACTTACTGTGTGTTTGTGTTTTTACTCCGTTTCCCAGTCGTGTCTCAGGAGACAGAGGTTCTTGTTAGTCAGAAGCAGTGAGGTGAAAGAGCTCTGAGCTGTGCAGCTGAAGTGAAACACATGAATCATTTATCAGTCTGTGCCACGTTTACATCTCTTTTTTTTACTTTGTTTCTTTTTTTATCCACATTTGTTCAGTTTGTTTCTGACCCTTGTTGGTGTCGTCTGTTCGCACAGAAATATGACTCTGAACTGTTCAAAATGGCCAAGTCCTGCCTGTGTGCCATCGCTGGAGCTCTGCCTCCGGACTTCGTGGACACCAGTTTGGGGGCGACGCTGGAGAAACAGGAATCTGTGGACGCACAGGGAAACTTTGAACCCAAACCCATCAACACTGCCAAGTGAGTCCAGCTGTTTGTGTCGACGTTATTTACCGTTCCTCGGCACGCTTCATGCTAAATATTTAAACGTGACCTACTTTTTTTCAGTATTTCCCTTCCTGAAAAACTTGAGTACATTGCCAACAAGTACGCAGAGCATTCCCATGACAAGTGGGCCTCAGAGAAGGTTAGTCCACGCTTTGATTCCACGAATATAAAGACATCAAAGCATCGATAAAGACCACATCCAGCTTTGACTCTAATCACCTGCTTCTGCAGATGTCAGCTGGTTGGAAACATGGAGACAGTGTGGATGAAGAGAACAAAACACATCCTCTGCTGAAACCTTACAAAGCTTTGGGTGAGAAGGTACGACCACGGTGGTGCAAACAGGAGGAAAACACGAGCTCTGCTTTATCATCATGGATGATTTTTTCTTTTGTTTTAGATAAGAAAACTGAAAACACTTTGATGCACAGTTGAACTCTGTGGCTTAAAAATATGAGTTTGTGGCGACTTTCCTGCTTTAACAAAGCATCTGATGTACAGACTAAACTCACAATATTCTTTTAAATGTGGGGCTCTGTTGGGTTGGACACAGAAATAGGTTTAAACCTCTGAAGGGTCTGCGGGAAATAATCCTTTACCAAGGTTTTTAAATAAAAGAAAGTTGACGTGGGGTTGTTGAGGTGCAGAAAATGCAACATAAACAAGGAATACAAATCAAAATTACAAAGGTTTAAAATGCAGAAATGAATTATATATATATATATAAAATGTCCAGATAAGTATGATAAGTACTGTTGAGTAAATAAGCTTAAACTAGCTAAGAATTGGAGCTACAGACCTGCAGTGTAAAAACAAAGAGCATGTAACATGCACATGAATTTATCTTTTTTTATTTTATATTTTTGATGTCAATAAACATGAACTATCTTGACAGTTCTTAAAAACCTCTAGAAAATATTTTCATTTAGTCTAAATTGTTCCAAATGCTGCTGTCATTCCAGGTCATCTTCCCAAAACTCTGGGCTGGAATTGTTAACGTTTTCAAATTTGCCAGAAAATAATTAAATTGTAAAAGATTTAAAAAAAAAAGCTAAATTTAAAAAAAAAGGTTTGAATTTGATATTTCTGTTGTGGTTAATATAGATCATCTGTTGTCAGGTGATTGATGAGCATCACAGTTTTTATTTTCTTTCGCCAAGTTATTGTCATAAAATAAAGTTTATGYTAATGTATTTGATATCTTCATAAAGTAAAAGCAGGAAGTCACTGGTGTGTGTGTTTTAATTTGAAGGAGAGGGAAACGTACCGCTGGCCTGTGAGGGAGTCTTTGAAGAGCATGTTGGCCATGAACTGGARCATCGAGAGGACCAAAGAGGGCGAGGCCATGTTCCAACAACGAGAGAGTGAAAAACAGCGCAAGCTCTCAGAGACTCAGGTGAAACCTCTTTCATTTTTCCACTCAAATAGGTAAATATTAGAGTTTCTGACACARGATAGAGTTGTAAACGCATAAATCACTGATCATTTTAAAAATAAGACAGTTAACAGTTCAGAGACGCGTCTGGTCTCATTTGGATTCCCTCTGTTTGATCTTTGTAGACTAACGGCTTCAGTCCGGCTCCGATGGACCTCATGAACGTCACCTTGTCYCGAGAGCTGCAGGTTGGACTTTAATGGTCTCATCTCTTTAAATAAGAATCACCGTACGGTTTGATTCAAAACATTTTCCTGTTTCTGCAGAGCATGGTGGAGGTGGTGGCAGAAAATTACCACAACATCTGGGCTAAGAAGAAGAAATCTGAACTCCTGAGCAAAGGTGTTAACATACGTATAAACCACAGTCTTTTCTGAGTAGTTTTAACTTCAAACTGTTTTTTAAAAACTTTTAAGTTGACGTTAGATTTTGTTTTGTCTGAGCAGGAGGAGGTTTGGCTCACCCACTGCTGGTTCCCTACGACACCCTGACGGCTAAAGAGAAGTACAGAGACAAAGAGAAGGCCCAGGACCTTTTCAAGTTCCTGCAGATCAGTGGCTACGCCATCACAAGGTCGCTTTAAATTTAATCTGTTCTGTGTTTACTGCCGTTTAACTCCGCTTTAAAGCTGTAATTAACAGAAAACAGTCAAACATTTTAATTCAAGCACGTCTTGTTTAGGTAATGTGCTGCAGATTTGAATAAAACGGTAACACTTTCTTTTAGATTACCCTTATTACCATGTAATTACAAGGTAATAAGCTAATTAAATGTAATTACTACCTTATTACCATGTAATTAAAAGGTAATAAAAGTAACTAAATGTAATTACTACCTTATTACCATGTAATTACG